CAAGAACTCTTAGAATCTACCATCTGGGCAAAATGCAGGTATTCAGCACCGTATTGTTAATTAGAGTCACGGTGCGGAACGCGGCTCTCCAAAACTTGGCCATGCTGCGCGACTGAAATTCCGTCTTCTCCTCCCGCCAGCGCCTGCCGCGGAGCCCTTCCCGAAGAGCAGCTGCCGCCGCAGCTGGCCAGCTACACATACACACACAGACGGACTTAGATGACGCGGATACGTCTGGACATCCAGCCCCGGTCCTCGCGCCGTCTGCACGGCCTGCATGCTGCCACCGAGCTGCGAAGCTGCAGCCCCTGTCCCCATTCCGGGGACTGCGTCTAAGGAAGTAAAATCCCAATCTGGAAGAGACGCTAGAATCCCCACGTTCAGTTCACATTTTTCAACCCATGGGAGCCACCGATCCTCTGCTGGTGGATGACTGGATGAGCAGCAGGCGTGGCGCGTGCGGTGGAGCGACATCCAGCCTTGGCAAGAAGGAAGCCCTGGCGCCCGCAAGGTCACGCGTCGGCCGCAGGAGCCGGGGCCAGGCAAATAAATAACCCAAGCGCCGGAACACAGACGCCGCGGCGCTCGCTCCTGAGCCAGAACACTGTTTCCCTGGTCAGGGTCCCCGCCGCTCGCGCCCACAGGACCGCCCCTGCTGGCCCCTGCTCTTGGCTGGTGGGGCACGGCCTCAGCGCTTTCTGCCCACTGCCCGGCCGCCCCCGCCCAGCCCCGTCAGCCTTGCAAGCCAAAAACGCTCTTAGCTGGTCCCTCGTTGGCGTTTGGTGGACCTGGAGCGCCCTCTACAGCTCTCCGGAAGTATTACTACGTCGCTTAATTTCATTCAATAAAAGGGAAAATGCTAATGGGGCAAAAGGGAATTCCGCAGCTAGACCAGGATTTCTCAACACGGAGAGGGAATGCCACCTCACGGCGAGAATGACTGAAGAGGTGATAGGCACTGTCTTAGCAACGCGCGTTTCCAGAAGGCTCCGGACTGCACTGTGTCTCTGCCAGTTGGTCTGCCATGAGGCTGTGCTGTCCCTTACATAAACATTATGAGGAGGCCCTGCGACACCGCCTCAGGGCAGGAGCACGTCTAAGCAACGCGCTTGAATACAGCTTTAAAGGCAAGACGGGCCTTCTGAAGAAGGGAAGGAGGGAAATAAGCAATCAAGAGGCGCGCTGTACTGTAAACATACCCGCTCCTCAGGAGGAACGTGGCCGCTGTGTGTAGCAAACGTGTGCTGATAAAAATAAAGATAAAAACTTAATTTTCATTCATAAGATAAAGTGTTAACATGAAGCTGATAAAAAAATCAAAAATTTTTAAATATAATCCATCAAAAGGACAGATAGACTTTCAGTTAATATTTCCCTGTTAAAATTATCCATAACTCACAAACGCAAAAGTAATCGCTTGTTCTTTTTTGCAAAAATGTGTCTGCAGGGCCATCTGTGACGTTTTAAATTCACTGTTTGACTTTTAATTTTTTTCTTCTTCTGTATTTAGGACAAGGTCTACAGGGTCTCACTACGTAGACTCATAGTGATCCTCCTGTTTTCAGCCTCCCAAGCGCTGGGATTACAGGAGCGCTCCACCACGACGGGGCCAGCACGGCATGCTGGGGATTGAACACCCGGCTCCTGCATCTGCCTAAGCACCTGCTTTAGTCCGCTGAGCTATCAGGCTGGTCCCCAGGACCCTTAATTTGGATGATGTTGTTTAAACCAAAAAAGATCAGCTGTAGTCAGTGCTACTAAATCTGGAATTCCAACAGCCAATATGTGAAAAGCGTCAAGCCAGTTATAAAATCATACCATTCTTTTTAATTTAATGTTTTCTACTGCTCTGTTAGTTGGGTATCGCTGTGATGGGATTCCCAAAACAAACAGCTTGTGAGAAGGGCAGTTTGGGAAGTAACTTAAGCCCGTTGCCACTGGGCCGGTGGTGAGTGGGCCACCACGCAAGATCTATTCACCTGGCCACTGCCCAGAAGCAAACAGACAGAAAGAGCCGGTGACCACCAGCCCTCCCAGCCTCCCCCACCTGCAAAGTTCCCGAACTACAGCAACTGAGAAGGGCATCTGCCTTGCCCACGCATATGCTGGGCATGAATATGCTAAAGTGTGTCCATGTCTCTCTTGGACCGAAGAGCCTTTCAAGCTGGCGGCTTATTTACAGTGCAAAGAACCACCAGACTGCATCATTTAATACTAAGGCTGAACGTATGACCAGAGTAACAGCTTCCGTGCATTAGCACACATATATATTCAAGTACTGTCTGTAGACTATATTACAATTTCTCATTTGGGGAATTTTCAAGATTTCTGGGATGTGCCAAAATACCAGTAGGCGGTTTAGATTGAGGACGCCTTATGCTAGACACAACTGGAAGGCGGAGGGGCTTCGTGCACCGGAAGAGCAAAGGTCTTTTCAAAAAAGCGTCAGCGGTGTGGCTTCCCTCTCAGTTACTAGTAAAGCCACTAAGGCAGTGCAGTCTCCCAAGCGGAGCAGCGGTACAAATACCAGGCTCTGCACCCTGTCCCAGGGTGTTCTCAGCAGCAAGACACCCTCCTCGTGTGAGCCTCCCCACAGTACTGCAGCTAAGGGGTTTGCAGTACTTCAAAAGGGGGTTGCAAAACGCTCTGGCATCCGTTTTGCTAGGGGTATTTGAAGGGAACCCCACTTCACCCTGTCCAGTTGTCCTGAGTGCCCCCCATCCCGAGAAGGACACACGGACCGGAGACAAACGCAGGGACAAAATAAAGCTGCGCATTCCCTAACTGGAGGCAGAGCTGTGACTCCGGGCCGCCCCCGCCCTGGACCCCAACCTACTTCCAGACCTGCCAACCGGTCGGCCCGCGAACACCACACCTTCTCGGCCCAAACTGGAATTTTGGGACCCCGACTGCGCGCTGCCCTGGGGAGGGGCTCCATTCTCATCTGCAGCATCCCGCTGGCTTTCCCTCCCGAGCAACGGATTCGTGGCCATTCCACAGCTAACCGGGAAGGCTTTGCCCACACCCGCCTCCTTGCCAGGGACTGCGGGACGGAGACCTGCGAAGCTGCGGCCGGGCGCGGGGCAGGGTCGGAGGCGCGCGCCGGGAGGAAGGCTCCGAGCCGCGCCGCGTCGCCGTCACGGCCCCCTCAGGGGCCCGCGCGGTGGCCGCAGAGCGCTCCAGTGTGTGCCACCGGCGCCCAGAAACTTCGGTAGCAGTGCGGCGCCCCAGGGAGGGCTAGCCGCAGGCCCGCGCCCTGCACCGCCGAGCCGGGCCGCGGCCAGAGAGAGGCGGGCTCCGGCGAGCGCTGCGG